TTCAGTTAATTTTAGTTAGTTTTGTGAACACTCATTCCAGTTTTAGTTAGTTTTCCTTTTTTTGTTTTTATTTTTATTTCCGTTAACGAAAATGTTTTTTCGCTTCTAGTTTTCGTTATTTCGTTAGTTTTCGTTAACGATAATAACCTTGGTATCAACCCTGGTCCAAGTTCCTACTGCATTCATTAAGGCTGTTTGTGCAAGGATGACACATGACAGGTCTAGAGGTTTGATTTGAGAGCCAACTTTATTCACACAGTGCAGCCTGCAGCTCTCAGCTGTAGGCCGCACAGACACGTTGCCACCACACACACCAACAACCCTGAATCCCCGTGTCTCTAACTCTCCGGCCAGATTGCGGATGCCATGCAGGTGTGTCCGCATGGCACCGCAGACCACGCCCCACCACACTGTTGTCTTTTTATGTGTTTTGATCTTGTTTAATTAAATATAAACAAGCCTCTAAAAATAATCAGTGGTGATTGCCGGCTCTCTGAGGTTGTTGTTGTTGTTGTTGTTGTTTTTTAGCAATATTCGTTTGTGTCTTTAAGCTAAATTTTTAAGACCTAATGATGAAACTGCAGCCCATCAGTCAGATGTTCTCTTGACTAAAGTTTGGTTCGTTTTCAGCGTCTTTTTTTGCCATATGATTGTATTTGTCTTTGACCATCAGGGACCCTGAAATCGACTTTTATTCAGTGGAAAGGAGATAACACTCATCCTCCATCTTTGCTGTCCTAATGTATTTATATTATCCTTAACACAGCTTTGTAACTAGCCACCAGGTAGCACACCATTATATGCCAGCAAGCCCAACTTTAATAACCCTTCAAACATTGCTGCTGTTTAGTTTTTCCATCTTCATTTATGCATAAAGTGATTGCAGAACAGTACATGTTAGTTTCTTAGAAATCCATTAGTCAGAACATGGTACATCATCTTTAGATGGAGACGAGCGACCTAACTTCTAATTAGTTAAGTCTCATAAATCCTCTTTTCATGGTTGTCTGGAGGTTCAACTTTGTTGTAACACCTGGGAGAGCAGCCAAACAGAATATTTTATTAAAGATGAAAGATTTTAGGCTGTTTTTAACTCACTGTTTGTTTAGGTTTGGGAACTGAAGAAGAGTGAACCTAGAAATGGCCAATGACGTCAGAGGCCGCTGTATTTAAACACTGCCTCTGACTGGCTGACTAGAGATTTGTGTTAAAGAGACAGGTTTGTGAGTGTGGGTAGCTAACTGCTGGTGATAGAAGCTGTTAAGTCAAACATGACTTTCAATAGCACCAGTTAACTTTTGAAAGGCCCAAGAGGGGGGGAAATAAGAGAGAAATATCCTGCGAAGGTGACGTCACTTCCTGTTTTGCTGACGTGTGCTGTCACAATGCGATGATGTTTATTCCAATGTAGGAAGTGCCATGAGCAGCTGATCAGATTGGCAAAACGTGTTTGTGATTGTAATGTTTTTGTTGTTGCCATTTTTCCAAAGTGGAAGGAAACCGCGGCCTGGGACAAGTTGAGTGCGTGATATGTAAGTAAAACCCTCCGTTTTCATATGCAAAAATTTTTTGCTTTAGCACGTTTTGGTTGCAATTCTACAGGGTTTAAAACTAGATATGTAAATCGGATCGTGCCCGCTTTGAGGGGCTTCAAAGGGTTAAAAGAAGTAAAGCACTGTCAGCTCAGCAGCACCGGAGGACACAATGATAACTGAGCACATGATAACAGAATTATTGGTATGGAAAAACCCCATTCACAACATCTAACAAGGCCAAGAACAGCGACGAAAGTGTGTCACTGTGAAAGTCTACAGTCTGCAGGTAGAGGGTTTACAACAAGCTGCAAGCCACTGGTTACATTTGGAGCAGGGAGCCCAGATTAGACTTTGCAGGAAAAAAACATGTGAAAGAGCCTGAACATTATGTATATAGTATAGTCTGTAAACGTTTATCCTGCTGAGATCATGAGCTGTTCCTTCCTTTGTCTACATCCGCCCCCCCCGGATGTAGACAAAGGAAGGAACAGCTCATGATCTCAGCAGGATAAACGTTTACAGACTATACTATATACATACTGTGAAAGTAAATAATAGATGTTTTTCAATGGCCAACTCAGTCACCTGAACTCAACCTCACAGAACATTTTCAGGTATTAAAACAAAAGTAAAGGCCTGACAGAGTCTCTCAAGGCTGATGTTCAGTAATCTTTGTCTGGGACTTTATTCCACATTTTAAAAACACAACTTATAATTTTGTCTAATTACTTTTGATCCTCTGAAATGGTGGAAAGCAGTAAACATATATTATGTTGTTTTGGGATAACTGGGCTGAAATAACTGATGATGCTTATTTGGAAAGGACTTATCGGGTTCAATATTCCAAATCACATTTGAGGTCTCAGGTCCTTACTTTTAACTCCTTATATGTGTATTTAGGTGGATAGAGTGATGCATAATGGAATACTAAAGATGGATTCACATGCATGAAGGATTTATAGGACAGACAAAATCTGTTTCATTTCAAACTTTTAAAACAACTTATCAAAAACACACACAGGCATGAATGATGCAAGGACAATGAAAAGAATTGCGTGAGTCCCTCGGCCCTTCTAGATGTCCATCACGGCCATGAACCCCCACGTGTATCTGCCTCAGGTGCCAAAACACAGAGCTTGGGTGATTAGTGTCAGTAAAGTGAACTTGGGTGAGCTGTAGTCAAATAACGTTTAATTCATCTCCTGGTTCAATGTTTGATTAGGCTGAAAGTAATGAGAACCCATGGGATGGCTTACTGCTCAAGTTGGAAATGGTCAACAGGTCATTACCTCCATTATCCCACAGGAGCAATTATACACACTTTGCAACGCCCAGGGGGCTGTGCTGGGTTACCAAATCAAAACAAAGATGTTTTTCAGTGTAAGTGGTCAAGAGAAGATCGCAAACTATGACAAACATAGAGTGAAACCAGCTGACTGACCTACTGAACATGTTTGTGAGACTCTATTATGGCAGCAGTCATAAACTTTATTCCATACGTTTATGCTACACTGTATATGCATAAAAGGGCCCTAGCAGTATTTACTCTTAGGGGAACAGTGTTACTACTACTTATACTGTATATGTTCATTTTGTTTTGTTTGTAGTGTAGTAAATGTCAGATAAAGGTAGCATGACAGATGGTAAATGGCCTGCATTTGTATAGCGCTTTACTCAGTCCCTAAGGACCCCGAAGCACTTTACACTACAACCAGTCATCCACCCATTCACACACTGGTGATGGCAGCTAAATTGTAGCCACAGCTGCCCTGGGGCGCACTGACAGAGGCGAAGCTGCCGGCCACCGGGATCCGACCTTCTGATTAGTGGCTGACCTGCTCTGCCATCTGAGCTACAGCTACCCAGCTCAGGTAGCTGTAGCCACCCACCGACAGATGTTTACTTTGACTATATGAACATTATGTAGGCGTTGGTAATCGGTATTAATTTTTAAATAACTGAATATGAATAACTTATATAATATCTTACTGTACAGTGCAATACTTTCTATGAAGATATAACACATTTTGGGGTAGAAACAAAATTCCCAAATAAGATTCTAAAGTGCTAAATGTTGTCAGCACAAACAAAGTTAGTAGAATTTTAAGCAAAGCAAAAGACATTTTCTGAAAGTTTGACCTTATGTGATCTTGAAGAAGAGGTCAGAGGTCCAAAGTGATATTTAGAATCCTCATATATCATTCCCTACATATCAATATGTTGTTAATGCAAATAATGACAGTAAGAAACATAGTCTTAAATACCTTTTATAATGCATTTTTCTGACTTTGACCATCCGATGAATCTATTGACCTTAAAGCAGAGGTCAGAGGTCAAATGTGACATGATATTTTTATGAGGCCTTTTGGCAATTTTTAACCAATAAATCATTAACTGGAGCTTGAACACACTGATGAATTATTCCTGGATTGTTAACATAACTTTACACTCCTACAAAGTTTCATTCAAAACTATCCTGTGACACAGACACTCAAAAACATAACCTGCTTGGTCGAGGTTATGACAAAGCATTTTATCACAGCAGTTGGCTATAATATAATCACAGCCAGGTATCCTTTGCTAAGATAAAGTGTATATCTTAAAGACATACTGTAAGGAATTTGGGGTATTAAGTGCCATCGTACAGTAAAATGGGTGACAGGAAAAATAATAGTAAAAATCATAAGTATGTTTTGCGTTCTCACTTGAAATCATGCAATACAGTGACTAAAACTGTAGTGTGTTCTCCACTTTTCTATTTTGTTAATGTTCCAGTATGAGACAGTACAGTCTGTAGAAATTGTCCCATGAAAGGGTTAAGTAAGAGGCCCTGCCCTGTTGTGCAGCTGAGTTTAGTTCCTGGCTTCAGAGACACCTTTGAACTCGTAAGAAGCATTTTTCTGCATCGGTTTTACTTTCTGCTTTTCTTCCCTCAGTGTTTTAAACGTATCTCTGCTCTCATGTTTGAGACTGCAGCTTCAGTTCAGTGATTTTTTTTTTCCCTGTTAATGCTTTGATTAATGTGGGAAAACGCCAGTGCAGGAAAAAACAGGAGTCCAGTGTGTGTCCGGACAGAAAGCAGCTCTAACAGAGACTGTAGCGAGAAGATATGCAGAAGCTTTATTAACAGAAAAGCAATTAAAGTCAAACAAGAGGCTGAAGGGCAATACGGGTGAACTTTGCTCCACAAAGAAGGCTGCTTTACAACCCAGATTAAAAGGCCGCAGTTGTTAAGAGACGAGTGAAAAAGCAACTCCATGGCATACCGGCTCTTTGAAGGGAAGGATCATGCTTCCATCTACCAAAAGTATCGCTTGACACCTCCAGCAGGGCTCAAGGATATTATTATTCAGTACTTAGATAAAAAGGTATGCTATGCTTAAAATATAATGTGCAAATTATCTTCACATATTGAAGGCCTTTCCTAAGGAAAGACATTAACAAGTAGCAAACTCTTTTCTGCAACTCCAGAAGGGACAGCCACATGAGCTGGCGGTGGATCTGGGATGTGGAACGGGACAGAATTCACGTCTACTGGCACCGCACTTCAAGGAAGTAGTGGGTCTTGACATCAGTGAGTGTCAAGTGGAGGAGGCTAGAGCTGTGCCAGGGTACCCTAACATCACGTACAGGTAGGAGAGCTTCCGGGCTGCAGCCTGTAGGAGTGTGTACAGTAAGGTAAGTACTTTGAGCAAGTGATTTGCAATATCATGCCATGGGTGGTATCTGGCTCACAGCAAGAAAGTAAATAAAAGTTTTCTTAATGCCAAACTGTTCTTTCAAGACCATGTCCACATTTCTCTTATAACTGTCAAGTCCACAGCTTGAGGAACATTTCTATTGTAAATCACTTGTTGAGTACTTCCTTAATGTTTCACTGCAATATATTTTCCCGAGTATTATCAAGCTGATCAGCTTTTAGCTGACTAGGTAGAAGGATCCCTTTACATGGGCAGGTTGTGTATTGTGTCTGTTGCATTTGCAGAAAGGGGACAGCAGAGGAGCTTCCATTTTCAGATGGATCTGTAGACCTGCTGACGGCAGCTTCAGCAGCACACTGGTTTGATCAGTCGAGGTTTCTGGCAGAGGCAGCTCGGGTCTTGAAACCCAGAGGCTGCATGGCTCTGCTGGGCTTCAGCGATTCTAACACCAAACCCACCTACCAGAACTGTGGAGACAGGCTCAAAAACATCTATGAAGAGGTAGGTGCAGACTGATAATCAGAGTAGTGTTAAAGTCCATTCCCATGTGCACCATTGGATTCCTTTCAGTGCTCCTGGATCTCTCCCTGAACGTGTCCTGTTCTACTCAAACATCCATGTGTGCATGTGCGTTATCACCTTGTCAATCAAACATCGACTTTGCCAAAGAGTCTGCAGCGTCTGAGACAGAATCAGCTCATGAATGTGACAAAGAACACTTTTTTTGCAATTCTTTTCATTTCATAAAAAGCGTCATTTGTAAATTTCCTTGAAGTTTAATTACTTCAGCTGCAGTTTTTCAGTATATTTTCATGTTCAGTGAGAGAAATCTGGTCTGTTTAGAGTCAGATTCAGTGCAGTGACTGAGGATCTGTGTCTAGTTTTGTTAAACGTCATCACTGACAATGTTCAAACATCTTCCGAGTGTCTTTATGTGAGAGAAGAATAAAACTCGAGCAGTGATACTGTCCTGAAGTAATCTATCTGTAGTGAATCAAAGTGCAACAAACTCTCTGTGAAGTTAACTATCTCAGTTTCAACATCAGCAACGTGGTTCATTTCTAGCACTGACAAAACCTGTTCCGAAAACGCTGCAAACGCTTTTGTTGCTTTCCAAGAAGAGTTTCAGATCTCTGTTCCTGCTCTCCTTCCATGAAGTTCTTGTATTTCACTGTGTTTAGTCTCATTCTTGATGATTCAAACTGTAATCTTTCACCACAGAAATCTGCTTTCCACAAACGAACCACACAGCTTTACTTCTGACTTCAGTAAATACTTAGAAGTCTTGTCTTATTGAAAACTTCACATTCCACATCAGTCTTTCTTTTGTCACTGTGACATCTCTCGGGGCTAGAAACTTTCAGGAACAGTGATGGTGCATTCCTTTGTGCACATCTACATACATTTAAAAAAAAAAAAGAAAAAGTAGTTGCTTAAAAATAAAAGCAGCAACGCTTTGTTGTGATTTCCCATAAAAATCACACACGTGTGACCCGTGTGCCACACGATTGCATCCACTCAGGCTGAGGCAAACACAAACATATATAGATCTATAAATAGAGATCTACAGATAGATAAGATGTATAATAACAATAAAAGTGAAGTGTACAGCAATTTAAAATTAAAGACAAAAATGATAAACACCAAGACAAACACAGCAGCCAGCACTGGACTGGCTTTTAAGGTGGAACACCCAACTAAATATAGTTTGCCTAATGTAGGCTTGGGGAAAGAGCTAGCAATTCTGTCCCTTAACAAAATCGAACAGCACTACAGCTAAGCCTTCTCTCTGTTATAAAATGCATAACTTTTTATTTTAAAATGTTTGTACTTTGGTAAATGTCTCTTGTTGAAGAATAATACTGGGCACTGACTGTTTTGAGAATCTCATATTTTTGTAAAGTCACTATTCGCAGCAGTTCCACCATTCACTGTTTTAATGTATTATTTGTTTGTCTTTTTAGAAATGTACTATTTTGACAGCTTTTGCAGACAATCACATAACAAATGGTGCAGTACCATCTCACACCTCTATGAACTCACTTCCAGGTGAAGCAGGAGCTGCAGCCGTACATGAGCAACCGAGTAGCTGTAGCTGAGGGTAAGCTGGACCTGCTGTACTCTGCCATCCCGTTTCCAGACAAAGAGAGGTAAACACAAACACATCCCTGTCTTTATGCTACCTCTGTGATGGCTAAATAAAAACCACTTAAGCACAAAAACAGCATTAACTTGTTGCTTCAGAGGAAACTCACTGCCAATAATACAAACTTAGGCTGGAATGATTTCTTCAGCTGTGTGTAAAACTAATCTTGTGCCTTATAGGAGACATTATTGGTGCTTTTTCATCAGATTAATTGTATTATTTTTACTGATCCGACAGGATTGATTGTTTTCAAGCAAAGTCCTTGATCTCAGTGAGGCATCTGGTGGGTTTCATGCAAAGCTGGTCCATGTTCCAAGCCTATGCTTTGAAAGACCCCAAAGGTGCTGAAGAGCTGCTGTCCAACGCTGAGAGGAGGTCACCTGCACACACAATTTCAGATATTTAACTGGCCCGTGCCTGTTATTGTGATCTGACTCACACTTTTTGGTGTCACTGATCTTCTTACAGGTTCCTTCAAGAGATGGGAGTCACGTCTCCTGACACTGAAGTGGAGCTTGAACTGGATTATTTCTGCATCCTGGCCTGCAAACCACATTAATCAACACTTCAACATTCAGTGAATATCACTGAGAGATACATAAACCTGTTGTTCTAAATAAACCATGTTTTTATCAGCAGATTCTGTGTTTTACTGATTTTCTTGAACTGGACACATGTTTCATTTTGACGTGACTAACCTCTTTAAACCGGTGTCTGACATGCACAGTCACAGGTTACATAAGTGGAAAGAAAGAATTGAAGATTAACCAGCTGTGTCACGTCAGGGGGTGGAGGTGGGTGGGTGCTTAGATGAGTCTGTCAACGGTCTTGATATTGTGGGTGGCCTGTCCTCTTGTTGTAACCATATCAGTGCCCCTTCCTTAATATTTCCAATAGTTAACCTGATGTTCCAGCTGAAAGAATAGCTGTCATTATCACTCGGAAATCAATTTAAGATATTTTTTACATAATGAACTGTCAGAGTCAATAGATATGTCTTAGTGTAGGTATTATTTAGGTGTAGTGTAAAATTCATCCATCCCCTCGTTTCCACTTCTCATGGTGGGGTTGGAGCCTATCCCAGCTGTCCTAAGGTAAGAGGCGGGGTACACCCTGGACATGTCCACAGTCTGTCGCAGGGCCAACACACAGGGACAGACAACCATTCACACTCACATTCACTTGCACATTCACACCTAGTGGCAATTTGGACTATCCAATTAACCTGTCCCCACAAGCTGCATGTCTTTGGACGGTGGGAGGAAGCCGGAGTACCCGGAGGGAACTCACGCAAACACGGGGAGAACATGCAAACTCCACACAGAAAGACCCTGGCCTGATGGTGGAATTGAACTCAGGACCTTCTTGGTGTGACGTAACTTTGCTAAACACCGTGCCGCCATAGTAGCGCATGTAAAATGCACTCTTAAAACTTTACAACTTAAAGTGGCCTAATGGGGTCAAGATGAACTCACTGTGCCAAATGTGTTTTGCTAAGTAACTGTAAATCTCTCAAGAAAAGATATCGCTGAAGTTCATCATAATTACTTCCTTGGAGGTTTTTTCATGAATGTAATCCATCCTTCTAAAGGTACCTCACACGTTGGAAAAGAGGAAACCATTACGTTTCCTTGCAAAATAAAATGTGCTGTAGGTGACATTTAAACTTTTTGGTACAGGAAATACTGAAAGACTCCACTTTAACTGTAACACACAAACAAGACATGCTGACACACACACACAAACACACACACACACACACACACAGCCTCAGCCAGGAGTTTTTATTGGTTGTGACGGGAGCACATGACCCATAATCTAACCCTTTTCTCACACAGCGCTTTTGAGCTTGACCCAGATTTCAGTTTAATGTTAATATCATGGCTTAAATTTGACATTTAGAATATTAGAAATCAGTATTATGTAGGGAAAGAAGAAAACAACAACATTATTATAAGAACAAGCAAAAAATAGGAGTATATAAAAAAAAGACTGTCTCTTTAAAAGGCTCTAATTATGAAGCAAAGCAGGTTTTGGCAGGAGTGGGAGCTCCCACTCCACTGTGTGTCTTTCTTTGTGTTTGTGACTTACTGCTGATTCTCACAGTGGAGTGTAGAGTTTCACTTCTCTTATCTGGTCAAAAAGAAAAATACACAGACAAAACAACAACAACACCACATTAGGTAACTTATTACTTAAACTGATGCTGGTTCAGCTGTTTAAGAAGGCTTCAGCTCACCATGGCCTACCGCCTGTTTGAAGGCAAGCAGCATGCTTCTTCCTACTGGAGGTACAGGATCTCTCCATCAGATCATCTATTTCAACACGTGCTCGACTTCCTGGAAAAACATGTAAGTGTGACAAATCCTTCGAGAATCCTTTCCACTGTAAACTGCCATCAAACATTTACAGCGCGTTAACAACATGTTGAATATTTTGTCAGAAAGGTCGGCCCTTTGAGCTGGCAGTGGACGTGGGTTGCGGCTCAGGACAGGGCACTCTGCTGCTGGCCAGACACTTCGCCTGTGTGGTGGGCACTGACGTGAGTCCCGCCCAGCTGGAAGTGGCTTTGCAGCATGCTAAAGAGCCGAACATCACGTACAAGTAAGAAAAGACCAAACAAGTCAGAATTTATCAAAACTCATGCCTGTAAAAAAATAAAATACCCCAGTTAATGCCACATCATTTGTTCAGTTCTAGTAGGAGAATGTTCCATAACGTGAGCCTCACAGCATGACCAGCCTTCACAGGACAGGGGTTACATTGTTCTGCCACGAGCTACGTGTTTTCAGAAGTCCTGCATAAACACTCTGAAAAATGATCCTGCAGTCGGTCAAAAGTTTCACTTGGCCTTTGCTCCTCTTTCATCTTCAGACAGTGTGGTGCCGAGGAGCTGCCACTCGCTGACAGCTCAGTGGACCTGGTGACGGCCATGTCTGCCTTCCACTGGTTTGACAGGCCACGCTTTCTCGAAGAGGTCCACAGGGTCCTGAAGCCCCGCGGCTGCTTAGCCTTGCTCAACTACACCATTGACATGGAGCTCAGCTACCCCGACTGCTGTTCGCACTCACTAAACCAAGTCTGCAAAGAGGTGCTCGCATAATATCCACCTAGAATAAACTGCTGTGTTTTCATTACCACTGTTTATAGTCTAGTGGTTTTTAAAGTAATGCAGCAAAACCATTTCTGGAAAAACTCTTGAGCGCTCACTTATACACCACAAAGTCAACATGATTACTAAAATAACTCTTTTCTTTAAGACTAAACATTATTCAAGCCTCATATTCATGTCCAGGAAGGTGGTTTCAGTTAAAATAGTTACATTTAAACGAAATAATTCTTACAGAAAAGATTTATGTAAAAAGGATTAACTGTTCCTGTGTTTAAAGTCTGTTTTAGAGGGTAAAAAAAGTCCACCTTAACTAATAAATATATAAGGAGGGTTTGTGTGCCACTCAGATGTTATTTTATAGGAATGTGAGCGGTGAATAACAGCGCTTTCAAAAAACAGCCAAAAGATAATAAATAATAATAAAGGAAGCATCTCCTCTCTGCTGAGTTTTATGCACCAGCTTCATTGCCACATCATCCAGAGAAACAGCACTTGGTGCAGTGCAAACATAAGGACACAGACCTCATCAGAGTTTGGATTACTTTGTTGTTAAGAAACTAAGATGATGTGCGTTGCCATCTAGAGGGCGTTTCTGGTAAAACAGCCTGAGCTGAGGGGTGCAGTTGAGTGAGGTGCACTAACTTTGAGTGGACTGTAACACACAGCTCATAGTTATCATAACTTGAATATTACTGAGTTATGTCTGGTTGATGCTCTTTGTCATATTATTAACAAATTCATAATAAATACTTCTCATGGCCTTTTCTGTTGGATTTGCCAGTTTTATGCAGCGTTGCAGCCATACCGCAGCCCCCACCTTGGAGTGAGCTCTATTAACTTGTACCGGGAGGCCTTAGAAACTATTCCCTACCCTCACAAGGAATGGTAAATAATCCTAACTCTAATTGTTTCTTAATATGGAATTTTCGCAGCAGACCAGCAGTACTAATGTAACAGACGTTTTAATTCTTTCCAGCATATACATGTTGTGTACTTTGTAATTTGTAACATTTTAAAAAAAAATAAAAAAAAAATAAAAAATATCACTTTAGCTATTTTAATGTTCAGCATCCACTTTAAAAAAAATCCCCTTGGCATGTCTGATGGGTATTTTATTTATCTCTCTCTCTCTCTCTCTCTCTCCACTGACTGCGTTCATGCCGCGAGTGTATTTTGTGTTACAGGCAGGAGTGTTTGTGGGACAGAAAGACCATGCCTCTGTCCAGCTACATGGGGCTGGTGGAGTCTTTCTCCAGCTATCAGGCTCTGCTGAGAGACGACCCGCAGGAGGCCTCCAGGCTCTCCCAGGACATCTGTCAGAGGTGAACCTTCACGGTGTATATGTGTCATAATGATAATAATGTGTTTTGACAGTTTAATGTTCCTCATTGTTAAAATCTATTACATACAGTAACATGACGAACATGTCAGCAGGTTTTGTGGGTGATAATAATGTCAGTGGAAAAACCCCAATTATAGGTGTGAGACTGGCATTCGTTGTTGTCTAAACGAGTCCCTGTAGCTGAATTATCATGCGCTCTGCTTCCTGTGTTTGTCTGCATAGGCTGATGTCTGTAATGAAGGTGACCTCTGCAGAGACAGAGGTGGTGGTGGCTGTCAAGTATTACTACCTTTTGGCCTGCAAACCACAGGAAGCCTGACACATGTCTCCTCCATTATTATTATTATTATTTTTTTAAACAACAAAAATGAACCTAATTAAGGATCCAGTAGAAAACATGTCCTGTTTTTGTTTTCTCTTCAGTTTCTCTGTGCAGAAATGTATCTCTTTGATACTCAAAATTTAGGACAAGCTCAGAAACAAATAGTGCTATATAATGCTTTAATTACATATTTCATTTCATTTCATTTCATTTTATTTCCTGTATTTTCATTCAAATTAGTCACGTGTGTACATTTACCGTACAAACATAAGAGTGACATTCACCATCACACTTAATAATCCAGCTTTTATAAAACCAGCCTTTTCATAGAGAAGTTGCACAGAAAGGTTGTGCAGATATTGATTATCTGCTGAATATGCACTTTTCCCTATAAGCATAGAATTATATACTCAGTGTTTGCATCAGATTGCTTTAGTAAATTCTCAGAAACGTGTGAAGCCTTCATGATGTTTCATAAGTTGCCACTAGAGGGAGGCATTGATCAATGTTCTACTGATGACTGAGACCATTCCGATCAGGTTTTTGTAAGTCTGGCAAAGCATCACCATTAAAACCCGACTGCTGTGTCCTTGGTTTCTTCATCATCATCATCATCATCAGTGTCTGCTTGGCTTCATTGCCCAGGAGGAGATGTAAATGAAGCCCCTGTTATCTTAATGTCAGTGTGCTTAGGCCATTTTCAACCTTCAGTCTTTGAAAGTTCATCGCAGCTTCTCTTAAATTTGTTTGCTCAGAATCTCAGTGAGAAAATAGAATTTCCTTACCTATCAGAAGGGGTTGGAGTTGCTATTGCTTCTTAACAGTTCTCTATGACCTTGTATCACTCTTGTCTACAGGGCTT